ATAAAGGAGCACAACTTTGCTGAGATCCTGAAGAAAAGCATCTGCCTGCAGCAGAGATCTCACACATGGTGTGGAAACTGTGACAAGTATTCGACTCAAGTATTGAGTCAGGCCTCAACATCCAGGGAGAAACCCACGACAGCATGGAGGACTCATGCACGGCCCTGAAGCTTTACAGGAAGTACCTGGAGCTGTATCAGGAAGGAGGGAATCATTACGTGACGAAGGTGCTCTACGAAGTCTACGACAAAGGCTTCCAGCTGAACTGGAAAGTCCCGGATTCGGACATGAGATAGTCCGTCTGAGTGGACTGAATGCACTCTCCTTCCATCCACGGGTGCTGCTGTGCTTCCCTCTGTGATGGGACTGTGAGCAACACCATGACCTGAGGATGCTCGGGCTGCTTATTTTGTATCATATTTTATAGTTATTTGCTTTGAGTCAGTGACTCAGTTGTTTTTTTCCATATCTAAATGCTTTTTATATCAGAGAGGTTTACAGGGGGGAAAGTGATCATTCAGAATATGAATTTGAACCTTTTTTTTTTCTTTAAAAGAAAAAAACAAAATTGTTGCATGTAAATGAAGTCATCCTGAGCACTGTGTTACAATCCAATGTTGTCAGTGTTTTGTTTAGGCGTGACTGTTATGTGTTTCCTGCTTTACTTTGAAGGTCTGTCTTATCTCAGTGTGTTCAGTTTACGCTTCCTTGTCTCGTCAGTTCTGATTTGCCCCAGCTGTGTTTCCCTCCTGTTGTCCATTCCCTGATAGCTCCCTCTATGTATTTAAGCCCTATATTTCAGTTTGTCATTGTTGCTGTTGTGGGCAGCACGGTGGTTAGCACTGTTGCCGCACAGCAAGAAGGTCCTGAGTTCAATTGCACCATCAGGCCGGGTCTTTCTGTGTGGAGTTTGCATGTTTTCCCTGTGTCTGCGTGGGTTCCCTCCGGGTACTCCGGTTTCCTCCCACCGTCCAAAGACTTGCAGTTTGTGGGGATAGGTTAATCGGATAATCCAAATTGCCACTAGGTGTGAATGTGAGTATGAATGGTTGTCTGTCCTTGTGTGTTAGCCCTGCGACAGACTGGTGACCTGTCCAGGGTGTACCCTGCCTCTCGCCCTATGACAGCTGGGATTGGCTCCAGCACCCCCCGCGACCCTGAAAAGGATAAGCGGTAGCGAATGGATGGATGGATTGTTGCGATCTCCCCCTGTGTTGTAAATAGTTTGTTGTATATAGATGTAAATAGTTGTCGATACTTTGTCTTACTTGGTAGCTGTAGGGGTGAGAAGCCATTTTTCTTTGGGAACCTTTTCTCCTGTTTTTGGTTAGGGAGGCAGGTAAGACACCTGTAATTTTCGTTTGGGGTTTTCTGTGAAGGTAAGCCAGCTGCATTTCATTTCTAGAGTTTTTGTTTGTTGTTTTGGCCATGCTCACCCTGACGCCTGCTACCTTTGGGACTTGATAAATTGACAGGCTGTTGTGAAATCCGTGGTAGCTGTTTTTTGTTGGTTCGTCTTCCTTGAGAGCAGGGAGTGTGGGGGCATTTCTCCTTATTTTTATTTTTCTTCTGTTGCACGCCAGTTTTCCCTGGGCTGGGGTGTAACAACTGTAAAATGTTTGATGTTTGATACCAGGAAGTGGAGAATGTGCATGAATCCATGCAAATCTTGATTAAAACAGATTCCAACCACAATGAATTTAGTTTGTTTGTTTCACCAGCTTCTGTGAAATCTGTTGCACTGTTCATTTTACAGCTGGATTTTTATTTTTATTTTTTTAGGTTTCTCAGAATTCAGATCGATTTTTAATTTTTCAAAAGCTGTTATTTCTCTTCTATAAATGACACATGTAACATTTTTGGGGGAAAAAAAATGTCCTCAATATTTCACCTCGAGCTCTTTAAAAAGCCCTAACTGGTAAGGACTGTGCTTCAAGTGCAGCATTTACAGCCACCACCTTTGAAAAGTAGTAACTATACTTTAATAGATGTGTTTAATTTAACCCTGTCAAGGCAGGCGTTGCAGATTTGCAACAAGTAAAAGCTAAACAACCTGATTACCCCACATACATATTTTATGAGGGTTTTTTTTCCCCTCAGAAGTACCACTGGAGGTATTCTTTTGTACATTAGCAACAAAAACTTAATTTGAGCCTGAGAGGGTTAATAAATCTTTAAGTCACATTTGAACGATTTTTTGATATAATGGTGCCCTCTGCTGGATGATCTGCATACTCTTACCGTTTCCACACAGTTGTTTTTAAAGGTTTATGTCATTATTTTCATTGTTGTTGTTTTTTTGGCTTGTTTTGTTTTGGGAACCATAAAATTTTTCGAGCTCCTTGTCTGGTCTTACAACAACTCTACAAGTAAAACCAAAACATACAGTTAGTAATGATCCAGGAGATATGTTAAAAATCTACACAACACAATGGATTTCGATGTTCCACGAAAGAATTTGTAAATCTACACAGTATAGTAATCCTGTTCAGCTGGATATGAATGTGTTGTGTAGTCTCAATAATGTTAAAGCAATAGTGTGATCACAAAACTGATAACTGGGAGGCTTAAAAACGAGCTCTCAGAAATATTGTAACATCGAGTAAGTAAATGCATGTATTTGGAAACATATACTTCTAAAAATACTTTTATTGCACCATGTTCATTCACTCATGAGCTGCTGTAACATGAATCAAATGGCTGAATTTCCAACTCAGCATGCAGTCAAGTTCTATAGTCTTGCTAATGACCTACTAGGTGTGTTACGCGTCGGGAGTGAGAACGGGTTGTGCAACAGGGACACATGGAAAAGTTGCAGGACGGCGGCCCTTGAGGACTGGAGTTTGAGACCCCTGCCGTATGGTGTTCATGCAGTTATCTACCCCACAGTGACAGCATGTCTGACTGCCTGTTCAGCATATGTAAAAATATATGATGAGTTTAAGCATGTGATGACAAACATGGTGTTTGTCATCACATGTCACATACATCTGGATGATCATTTGGAATAAACAAGAAACTAAAAACTTGTTGCTTCATCTTTTACCGTTATTATCATTATTATTATTATTGATCTTATTTTACATTTTTCATTGTTAGGCATTAGGTTTTTTTTTTTTTTCCTTCCAACTTCTTTTCCTCTTCCATGTTACTGTGTCAGCTTGTCAGCATCTATTTGGGGTTGGGAGCGGAACAGAAAGTAAGGAAATCCAAAGTGCCATTTAAACCAGGAGAGGTTCTTTTTCAGAAGAAGGGATTAATTCAAAAGAAATGAATTTACACAGGTGTTGTCGAGTTTGGCGGGCCACTCAAGCGGCCCTACTACGCACAAAGAGAACAACAAACGCATCGCAGATCGGCACCGGACCCGTTCCTGTGCAACTGTGACTGAGCAAGAGAGTGGTGGAGAAAAGAGGAGCTGTTTGTGTGTGGAACCCCCTCCCCTGGACTCCGGCCCCTTTCACTCCTGGACCCTGGAACCCTGGCCCTTTCCCCCAAACACCTTTGTATATATATTGCACTGTGGCAGATCACTGTAAATAAATTCACTCTTGTTCGAAAGGAGTTTGTGGTCTGCGCTTGAGTCTGTCCCTCTACTCCTCTTCAGTTCGCCTCAACATAAGCTCATCATATTCTATGATTTACTCTCAGGTGTTTGACGAGGTTAATGGTGCTGTCACAACACCTTACTGTCTTGCCACATGTATCGCAACCGCGTCTTAGCTGTTTGTGGAGGTAAAATACATCACACATGACTCCGTTTATGCTCAGCCATTGCTGTGAGTGTGCATGCCAGAGGCTGCTACACATTTATCCAGCCGTATTTCACAAATGACTAAGGCGTAAGAGGAAGTAGTTCCTTCCAATTTAGACGATCCGAATGATATAGTTTATTTCCACTGTTCCTGTTAATGAAACACTACAAATTTACCCCAAAGTACTAAAATATCGATATTTTAATATGAGAATCGATTCTAGAACATAAATTACTGGTATCGGAAGAATCGATATTTCAATATCGATCCGCACACCACTATTAGGAACTTCGTCTGTGTGTCATTCCAATTCAGGTTTTTATTATTTTATTCTATTTATTTATTTATTTGTTTGTTTGTTTGTTTTAGGAATTTGGATTTTAGGATGCTTCAAACAAATCTGCCAGATTAACAGGGTGTGTGAAGCTGGAGTTTGACACAAGATTGGTATTTTTAAAAGATTTAAATCACCAAATTCTGAATAAAAGTTTAACAAATTCAGGACATAATTAGTAATAGAAAGTAATAGAAAGCTAGTTGTATACATTATTAATCAGGATCAAAATTAAGGCATGTCAAAGCTATCCAAAAACATACCACATTAAATGCACAAAAGGCGCACAGAAAGCATACTTAGTTAATCTTTGAGTAGCCAGTAAAGATTATGAAGGTGCTAATTAGAATAACAGTTATCTGTTCTGCAAAGAAAAAAATAAATATGGGTAAAATTAACATGAGTATGAGAAATTTCAGCATTAAGATCTACCTAATGTGCAACAGTTCCCTGACATCTGTTTCATCTTTACAACACATGGCTACTTCACAAAATGCACAAAATAAAAGATTACCAGAAATTATTGAATTACAAATGAATGAAATTGTTACAGCTCAATTAACAGTTTTCATGTGGATCTTTGTGGGACTGTGTGCCATGATACATACTGACACAGAATGAAACGGCAAGATTTTGAGTAGATGTCCCCAACACAAAAACGTTTTTTTAAACAAAGGTAGTTTGTATTTCTGTGTATATTGCGAGTACAATGTTTTACTTATGTTTACATCAGACATCAAATCTACTCACTCTTTAGAATATAAGAACACTCAACTCTTTTCTTTAAAAACATCTATAGATTGATAAAAATCTATTAGTATAACTACAAATCTATGCTCTGTGCTGTGTTGATAATCATGCATGCAAATCAAAATCAAAGATGAAAACGATGACATAATTTTTTTTAAAGTTTGATTACAATTCCAAAATTTATTATGCCATTCAAAAATATTTTGGTGATCACACATATTTTTCTTTATTTGTTTTCCTTAAAAACCAAGCCAAATTCTTCTGGGATTAAATATTATATAAGCTATTAATAAAAACACAACAGATTAACTCACTGATACTATGGAAAAAAGGAACAAAGAAAAGCCTGACTTCTTGTTGGTTATCTGAATAACCACAGATTTCTGCATTCATTATGTGTTGCTAGCTGAATGTAAATCACTGGATCCACTGGATGTCATGTTGTAGCCATCTAAAAAAAACAGAGCAGTATAGTTAATCTGTGGCAAAAAATAATACACAGTAGACACTGAAGTAAGAAGTAAAATAATTGTATGAATAAATAAATTAAAAAAATTAATTTGTGTTAATGTGCAACCCATCCAATTGTTTTCTGTGTTGGACTGCCTGATTAAGGTACAAGCACACCTAACAACACACAGCTTTTCCTGCATCTTTATGTTAATTTTTTAATTGTTATTTACCTCTTCCACGTCTCCAGTTCCTTAAAAATCGAAGTCCACTTGACGATGAGTTTCCAGCACTTGTGCTCTAAAATATAATACAAAAAACAAATCATGCAATATTTGAAAAAACAAAACAAAACAAAAAACAAGTTGGCTGAGATCCAAAAATAAGGAAAGAAAAAAGGAACACGAAAACTGTTCTTACCCCTGTCCCACTTCTGGACGGTCGTGCATATGATGATATTGCTGACCGCACCTGGTAAGTGAAATCTCAAATGTTACACTACAATGGAAGTTGCACAAGTTAGCTGTAAAAGTAAATTAATTCATGATGCCCAGCCAAACACTAAAAGGAATTGTTACGACTGTGACCGTAATTGTGTGTGGATTTGAGTGTCCAGGTGCTCCTCCGGGATTGGTGCATCCAGGGTGGATGGCTCACACCGATTGGCTGAGGACTGGGAGACAGCGGATAAGAAGAGCCCGCCAGGGACTGCCCAGTCATTCATCCTCGGCCCAACCCAGCCGGCAGACCGGTCACTGTATCGACGTATTATGTAATGTAAGAGCATGTAGGGGTGGACCGCCTTTTTGGTTGATCAGTTTTCTCCTGTTTTTGTTAGGTAGGGAGGAAAGTGATTGTCGTTTTGTTTAGTTCCTTTGAGTAGGTAAGTTTCGTTTATCCCTGAGATAGGCTACTTTTGTTTGTTGTTTTGGCCTTGGGTTCACCCTGAAGCTATGATATGCTCCCTTCCTTTGTTTAACCGCACCTATTGTAAATAAATCACTGTCACAAAATAGTAAGTGTGTGACGTGCTGCTTGGGGTTGGACGGGGATGGATCACCCTTTATGTTGTGGTCTGGCCGCGCCTAGACGGGCCATAACATAATTGGTGATCCAATTATGTTATGGAGGGCCCGGGGACCGCTTCCGCAACATTTCAACGTCTAATGCAGAAGGTATTGTTTGGAGTGAGAAACTGTGAGGCATACTTGGATGACATTGTCATTTATTCTCCAACATGGTCAGAACATCTGGAAACGCTCTCTGAGGTGTTCAGACGTTTTTGTGAATCTTCTCTCACACTAAACCTCTCTAAGTGTGAGTTTGGTAAAGCCACCATTACTTATTTAGGGAAACAGGTCGGACAGGGGCAAGTGCGCCCTGTTGCTGCGAAAGTACAGGCCATTGTTGATTTTCCTGTCCCGCAGACAAAAAGGGCACTGCGTCGTTTTTTAGGAATGGCCGGTTTTTATCGAGGGTTTTGCAGAAATTTTTCTGATGTGGTTAGTCCCCTAACTGATCTTGTTAGCCCCTTAAAACCTTTTATTTGGTCTCCAGCATGTCAGGTGGCATTCGAATCTGCCAAAGCATTGTTGTGCAGTGCACCAGTGCTAGCTGCGCCGAATTTTGAGCGCCCTTTTAAACTAGACGTTGACGCCAGCTCGTGTGGCGCAGGCGCTGTTCTGTTACAGGAAGATGATCACGGCGTAGATCATCCCGTCTGCTACTTTTCAAGAAAGTTTAACAGACACCAGACCCATTATAGCACCATTGAAAAAGAGGCCCTTGCCTTACTCCTTGCGTTACAGCATTTTGAGGTCTATGCTGGGTCAAGTGTGCTGCCTGTGCAGGTGTTTACCGATCACAACCCACTGGTGTTCCTTTCCCAAATGCGCAACTCCAATCAAAGACTTATGCGCTGGTCCTTGTTATTGCAAGATTTTAACTTGGAGATCAGTTACAAGAAAGGGAAGGATAACGTATTGGCTGACACCCTGTCTAGAGCACTGTCTCCTTGAATTAAACATTTTGGGGTTAATGTTAATTCTTGGGTAAGGGGGTGTTACGACTGTGACCGTAATTGTGTGTGGATTTGAGTGTCTAGGTGCTCCTCCGGGATTGGTGCATCCAGGGTGGATGGCTCACACCGATTGGCTGAGGACTGGGAGACAGCGGATAAGAAGAGCCCGCCAGGGACTGCCCAGTCATTCATCCTCGGCCCAACCCAGCCGGCAGACCGGTCACTGTATCGACGTATTATGTAATGTAAGAGCATGTAGGGGTGGACCGCCTTTTTGGTTGATCAGTTTTCTCCTGTTTTTGTTAGGTAGGGAGGAAAGTGATTGTCGTTTTGTTTAGTTCCTTTGAGTAGGTAAGTTTCGTTTATCCCTGAGATAGGCTACTTTTGTTTGTTGTTTTGGCCTTGGGTTCACCCTGAAGCTATGATATGCTCCCTTCCTTTGTTTAACCGCACCTATTGTAAATAAATCACTGTCACAAAATAGTAAGTGTGTGACGTGCTGCTTGGGGTTGGACGGGGATGGATCACCCTTTATGTTGTGGTCTGGCCGCGCCTAGACGGGCCATAACATAATCTTTTTGTAAGTCTATGGTGATGTTTATCTTGCTTTTTTGTGTGCTTGTGTGGGATACGAACACATACATATAACTGTTATTTATTGAAGTGTGGGCCCACCTGCTGTTTGCTACTTTCACCATCAAGTCTGAATTAGTCATTTATATGGATTTACAGAGAAACCATGAAATGGCACTAAAAGGCAGAAGTTTGACTTGACAAGAGGATTTTAGTGTAGTATTATTACAATTCATATTCCTTTGTCAGTAAAGGTTTGTAGACATTAAGCACTTTGTTGGTTAAACCAAATTATATCATTTAACATTAATTTAAAGTAATTCAACAATAAGCACTTATTCATTAACTTGACTTAAAATTGAGCTGTACATACCTTACCATCCAGCAGTGTTCCAAACACCAAAATAAAGAAGCCCTTTTTTAAAAGACAGAGTAATGTCCGTTATCAAGGATTCAGTGATTAAAGATTCTGCTATTATGGTATAAAAAGGTAAAAAGTTTATTTGTACCTGTAGCGAATTGAAGAGTGCGAATGCAATATTGATTCCTATGTCTCTTGGATGCACCAGAAGTCCAGCTCCCAAACCCCAAGTTATTCCAAAAAATGGTGTAAGCACAGCCAAGCTCTTGACAATAACCAGTAAAACGCTCTTTTCACCTGCTTGTGCAGCAGTTGTTCCAACCCTTCTCCTTATAATTTTGTACAAAACCACAACCAGGATAATGAGATTTATCAGCACTATTGAAAGTGCAGGAATCACAAACGCCAGTAGAGCTTTGGACTCATCCCAGTTGAGCCAGCAGATTACATTTTCTCTGATATATTTGTTGTCTGGTGCAGTTGCAGCTATAGTTACTGTTGCTATGATTAGAGGAGCTCCGTAGCCTAGAGAAAATCCAATGGCCAGCATAGATGCTTTAGACAAACCCCCACCAAAGACATTAGTTGTACGGTAGAGCAGCAACAAAGCTGAGGCAAACATCCAGAAGAACAGAGCTAGGTAGAACAAATGGATAAAAAAGGTAGTTGCAGTGCATGCTGAGTGGTTTTTATGATTTGCATCTGAAATGGCTGCTCCAATTATAAACCAAATATCTGCAATCAGGAGGGACACAGCAATGTTAACTATGGAAACATGACGCAGGTAAGAGGTTTCATTCGTTCTTATTTTTCTCCATATGAGGCCTTCAATGATGAGACATATGACCAAGGAACCCATGGAAATGCCAACTCCGATGTAGGTTATATAGTCCAAAATTGGGCTAATTGGACTGTTTGGTGACATCAGGATAGAGAATGAGGTCAGGTGGTTGCAGTTGCAGGTGACAGTTCCAGTTTCATTTGTATTTACCACTTCACAGCCCTCATCGTCCCATCCTCCGAGACCATTAAGGAGACTGAAGTTCCAGAAGACACATTTTGGATCTCTCAGTGTATCATTTAAAATATCAAATGTCAAAGAGATATTATTGATTTGGCCACTGGACTGAACAAGTACAACCCTGCCACCGATGACCTTAATCGATGAATTGTCTATTTCTCTTGCAGGGAGTACATTATTCAGCGAGGCAAATGTTATCACTGTGATTGACTTATTTTTACCCTCATTCTGTGGTATTTCTATCACCACTGAAGAATTAAAATCACCAATGATAGGGTTTGTGTATATAGTTCTGTTCAAGATGATAAAAGGCGTGTCAATACCAGAATTATTGAAACTGGCAAGGTGTTTTGTTATTATTTCAAGAGACTGCAATAATGATGAACTAACACCGTCAGGGTTAGAGATGTTATACGAGATACTTTCATTGTTTTTGTTCAGAAAGTTCCATGAGTCCCTTGCCTGATCTGTGGTGAGAACACCTGCAGTTATCAGGATATCCTACAGTAAAAAAAAAAGTATTAGATTGAATAAACAAATACAAAATTAAAAAAAAGCATGTATTATTTAGAATACTCAAACTTCAGTAAACTAGCATGTACCTTCATTGAGTTTTCATTGATTGAGATATTGAATAATTCTGTTCTGTTGGCTACATTTCTGAGGATTTGAACAACAGCATCAATATTTTTAGGTGAGTTAACCACTTGCTCAGAATTCCCATTAGTAACATTGCTGAGCTGTTGCAAAAATGCTGGCAGTGTAGTGGCAGTCAAGACCTGCAAGAGTTGAAGAGAAAAAGTATTTAGTTTCACAATTTAACTCAATGTTTAAGTTAGAATGACAAACTTGGGCTTCCTATTTACTAATTCCTATCTCAAAGGTTTTTGTTTGTAGAAATCCTCACAGAATCTGGCTTACGTTTACTACAGTCTTTTAACCTTAATCTGCCTGCAGTTATAAACCGAACAGTGAATACCGTGTAGTGATGCGCGAATCATGAACGAATCGTTCAATACTCGAGAATCACTTTACTGACTCATGAATCATGATTCACAAGCCCAACTGACTCACTGACTCATCCCTGTTGCTGTTAGCAGCAATGTATCTAGCTTATAATTAAAATTGTGGAGAAAAACACAACATCCAGTATCGTAACAAAAAAACTTCTGCTCTGAACTGGAAGAAAAAACCCTGAGTAGAAGCTCACATCAAGAAAATAGCTCCTCGGTTCACAGTAGCATCGCTCTGCCTAAGCGAATCACTTAGGACTCGCTCACCCCCTCCCTCCTGGCTCACAGCTTCTTCTTCTTCTTGGTTGGCAACCAATGTTAAGGCGCATTACCGCCCCCTGGCTCACAGCTCAGTGGACATTTAGATGAGAAAATATATATTTAACACATTTAAGGAAAATACTAATAAAATAAAATAAAATAAAATAAATGTTTATTAAGCAATTTTGATAGGAAATTGCTTAATTTTAGAAATGTTTTTGCTCTTTTTTGCTCTATAAAATTGTTGTTTTCTTTTAGAATCATTCATCTTAGCAGTAGGATTTACATGAAAAGGGAAACAAATTAAGTTTGATTGAAAATGTACATTTTTTGCACTCTCTGGTCAACTGACACAGTGAATCAAATGACTAAAAAACCGATTCACTTTGGTAAGTGACTCATTAAAACTCGATTCAGTAAAAAGAATCGAATTTACCATCGCTAATACCGTGTTTCATTTGTGCTTTCCATGTCTTCTGATCACAAATTGTAAATAGTGCTGTAGTGGCAAAACAAAGAAACACTACTTACTTACTTTGTGGTTATTTATTGAAAAAGTGTTTTTTTGTGCATACTTTATAAACTTAAACTACCTGCTTACTTTGTGGTTATTTATTTGACAAGTTTTATTTTTATTAAATGGGTGACAAGTTTATTTTGTATTAACAGTTTGTCTGTCATCACAAATTGTATTAACAGTTTGTCTGTCATCACAAATGGTATAAAACTGTAAAACATGTATTGCACAAAGTTAAAGGGCTTGATAAGCATTGACTCATTGCAGCTTACTTTAATTTCTGTTGTGCGGGGTTTTTTGGTGCAGTGGTTATCCTTTTTTATCTTTTTTTTTCTTTTTAACTTTCTGAGGTTTGTACTATGAAGCAGAACTTTGTCTTATCCGGGTAACTTTGGGGTGAACCAGGGTTTTCTGTAGTGATGGGATTTCCGGCTCCTTTTAGAGAACCGGCTCTTTCAGCTCCCAAAACTCGAAAAGCACATACAAACTCCAAAGCACGTACAATTTAGGGGCATCTATTTGTACTTGTGGACAATATAAATTGGTTACTTTAAATTAGGGAATATTACATTTCCTACATTTTGTATTTGTATTTTACTTATTCTCAGACTATTAAACAACATCAAGGTTCCAGCTGAAAGAATAATAACTAAAACTGCGTTATGCAAATTTAAACATTTATTTAACTCTTTTTTTTCACCATTGGCACAGCACCTGCCCCAGCTCTGATGCTTTCGGAAGGAAGAGAAGACAAGCTTTATGGTGATATTTTAAGTATCATGTTAGCACAACGCATTCAGAAGGTACTGTTGTCTGAACACAGACAGAAAAATCAGCTTCTACTAGATACTAGTTAACATGTGCAGTTCACATCACTGTAATGCTTTAACCATTTTGGGCTAGAGAGAGAATTCAAATGTTCCTTGAAAGAGGAGAATTATATCTCTAATTTTATAGCTGAAACTTAGTTAACTTAGTAGTTGTGATGTTTGACGTTAGGGCAATTGAATCCAAATAATGGAAAGAATCCCTGTATATATTTAACTTACTTTGTAGTACATAGAGCCCTGGAACTTGAAACTAACACTAGAAAACTAAAGTCAACTAAAACTCAAGTATGTTCACCAAGAAATGAAAACACCACTTAATCCTAAGACCATGATCGTTTTGCTGTCTAACAGGATACCATCCATTTGGAAACTGGTTGAAGGAGCTGTAATAATTTGAGAGGTGGATTCATCTTCCATTATAGCCCAGAATAGAATCAACAGGATTGTGTTGAGAACCATTTATATTTTACATTACATTACATGGTCATTTCCATCATCAGCAAAATTGAAATGTAGAGTAGAAAAAATTAGTCATTTAAGAGCCTATCTTACCATTTGATATAATCTAGTTTTGAAATTTATAGTCACAGTTGTCAAGTAAAACACATAGCAAATTAACTTTAATTAAAAGAGTAACTTAAAGAGAGGTTTGTGTAATATTTTTGTGGCTTCACTTAGGTGAACTTTCTAAACTCTTTAAAATATGTAATATTGTGATTTATCTCTAAGGTACATTTTCCACAATACAAAGAACTAAAAAGAACATGGCAGTTTATATAAGTCACCTCAGATTGGTCAAGCAGCTCCTTAATGGGTTGCAGTATGCAGGTGTCTCCTATTTCAGTATATGTTGTGATGTTGCACAATGCACTCTTTTCTCCTTCCTCATTGTTTGCACAGGGTATTCTGGCTCTGGAACCACTAACTGCCTTTCCAAATTCTTTATCATCACACATTTGAGGATCTAATAAAACAAAAACAAAAAAAAAGACCTTATTAAATGTAGATAATTTTTAACCTGAATTTAATAAATTGCTTTATAATGTGTTAATACTCACTTCCTTTGTAAAATCTGAGTGTTATTGTTTCTTTGAATTCAGGATAGGTAGTTGATTGACAGGTAATTGTATCCTGCTCTTTGTCTGTACAGCTATCAGTTTTATATTGATAGGAAATGCTTTTTTTACCTTTGGATAAATCGCAGAAACAACAAAGTCAATATGAATAGCAATACAAGCTAAACATTCAGATCTGATGTAATATTAATCAGACTAGTTTTTAAAAAGTTTTGTCTCATATTAGTAAATAACGTAAGTATTGCAAGATGAGCAGAGAAATTATTTCCCAATAGCTGATTTGCATTTTGTTGATTCTTTGTTTCAGATTTACCGCTAATATTCACGTTTGTGAAATTAATATTGTAGTCATTGTTGACAGTGCAGCTTAGTGGCACATTTTGACCACTACAATTCAAAAATTTTTGAATTGGGTCCACTCTGATCAAGGGTTTCTCTTTGAGTGTGAAGACTCCATTGGATCGTTGTCGATAAAATGATTCATCCTTTTCCCGTATGAGCCTGCATTCATAATTTCCTGGAATGAAAGTAAATTATTATATACATAAATAAAATAGTGTTGCCAAACAAAAATAATAATATATGGGTTGACAGTGTCACTTATTTCTGTATTATACAGTTGTAATATGGCTGGTTCTCCTATGCAGATTCAGTGTTTCCTACAAAAAAGCAATAATGTAGCTGATAACGAGTTTTTGCTCCATTTTGTTTCAAGAATACCATTCTCTGTCTAGCAACATTTTATTTTACTGTTATATTATTAAGAGCTCAGCAACCACTTATTTCCAAATTTAAATAGGATTTCTAATATGAATTAGTTGACATCTGTGTTCACACAAGTACACATTTACACTGGCACTTGTAATTTGGTATTTCTTTCTCTTGAGAAAGGCTTGTGCAACAGCAATGGTTTAACTATTTAAATCAAATGATTTCAGTCCTTCTGCACTAATATTGATTGCTCCATTGCAGTAACAACGTTTTCCTTAACCCTCTGGGGTTGCAGCGACCTAGCGACTCCATTTCAACTTGGGTCAGAAGTGCGGACTTCAAACTATATACCAGATTTTAAATTGTGTCGATAGGCCACGTAAAAGAGTTATGATAAAAGATACATGTGATGTTTTTTTCTGAACCAAACAAGTTTTACCCTTAAGCCAATCAGAATGTTGTAATTGCACTTGCTGAATCACTAAAAAATGCTGAGACTACACTCGCATTTTAAATGTATATGATTTGTGAATTTCCCCATGGAATGCAGTTGTTTGCTTCTTACCACTGTCAGCACGAATGAACTGTGACACAGATAAGACTGAGTGACTGTTGTTTTTTGAAATGTTATGTACTCCATCTGCAACTATGACATTGCCATCACGTCTCCACTCTGCTCTCCAGTCAGTACCAAAGAGATCCAATGGTGGATGGCCACATGTTACAATGACTTTATCCTCCCAAAATCCACTACCTTCAATTTTAAAATCCAGAAAACGTGGCTCTATAAAAATGAACATAAATATAAAAAAATGATTAAACAATCATCTGATCTCATGTGTTTTTTGATATGACATTAAACATATATGTAAAATTGAATAAAATCACAAATGTAGACAAGTGCTTACCATCTGATATCATAGAGTAGATTTTTGCTAGCTGGTCAAAAATTCCATTGTTTAGTGTTTGGATGACTGTAGTAGCAGCAGTGACATTATATTCAGCGATGGTGCTTCCACTCCTATAATATGGAAAAGGATTGGAAACGCTAACATTTCTGGCATGTAATGTACATTTTCACTCTCACACCTACAGATAAGTCAATGATAGTTGAGTCATAGTTTTATATTTTCAGTCTACTAGCACTTGGAATCCAATCCCCTAAATAGCTTTGCACTATACTTAACTTAAAAAGAATTCTCCAAAAACCTCACATTTTTCTTCAATTTACGAGTTAGTAGTTTACCATTTGGTAAAATCAAGTTATTATTATTATTATTATTATTATTATTATTATTATTATTATGACCACAACATATTACTCAAATGACTGGAGAACTGGGCAGGTCTTTCAGGAACTGTACTAAACTGGTTCAAAACATACTTAGAAAACAGGAAATACTTTGTATCAATAGGTAACTTCACATCTGAGCAGACAAGTATCACATGTGGAGTTCCCCAAGGTTCCATCTTGGGACCCCTTCTGTTTAACATTTACATGCTCCCACTGGCACAGATTATAAAGAACAACAAAATAAACTACCACAGCTATGCAGATGACACACAAATATATATCACAATGTCGCCAGGAGACCGAGGCCCTGTACAGGCTCTTGGTAAATGCATTGAGGAAATTAATGACTGGTTGTGCCACAATTTTCTCCAGCTAAACAAAAACAAAACTGAGGTAATAGTCTTTGGCGCCAAAGAAAAACGATTACAGGTCACCAGAGAACTTCAATCTATACACCTAAAAACCACAAACCAGGCGAGAAATTTGGGTGTAGTTATGGATGCAGACCTAAACTTAGAAAAACACATTAAGACAATAACAAAATCAGCTTACTATCACCTCAAGAATATTTCAAGGATAAAAGATCTGATGTCTCAACAGGACCTGGAAAAACTAGTCCATGCATTCATCTTTAGTAGGCTTGATTACTGTAACAGCATCTTTACAGGTCTACCTAAAAAATCCGTCAGACAGCTCATTCAGAACTCTGCTGCTCGAGTCCTCACTAAGACCAAAAAAGTGGACCACATCAGTCCAGCTCTGAGGTCTTTACACTGGCTGCCTGTCCGTGAGAGGATAGATTTTAAAGTTCTGATGCTGGTCTATAAAGCTCTGAATGGTTTAGGACCAAAATACATCAGTGACCTCCTGACCCAGTATGAACCTTCCAGATCCCTCAGGTCATCTGGATCTGGTCTTTTATCAGTTCCCAGAGTCAGAACCAGACACGGAGAAGCTGCATTCAGCTTTTATTCTCCTTATATCTGGAACAAACTCCCAGAAAGCCTCAGATCAGCTGAAACACTCAGTTTATTTAAATCCAGGTTGAAGACTCACCTATTCTCAGCTGCATTTTAATAAAGCACCAAATCCACACTTTGATTGATTGATTGATTGATTGAATCTTTATTTTGAACATGTTGAAAAAGTATAAAAAAAATAGAATTAAAAGAGACAAATGAACAAAGCAAACAAAAGGAAAACGAGCAACCACAACTCCAAATAACGTCCATGTTCAAAAAGGAGCATGAATAAGCATAAGCTTATTTAATCCCACCCCTTTTCCACTATCTAGTATCAATAGACTACAGAAATACCTCCTTGCAATTACATTATATGTTATGTGTAATTTTTATTTTTTATTTTTTAAATATATACACATATATGTTTCTATCTATCCATACATACGTATATACACACATACGCACATATACACATTTTCAATAACCCCATTAACACCTCAAGGATACACAGCCTACAATTATATATATATATATATATATATATATATATATATATATATATATATATATATATATATATACCTATACCAACAAACCCGTGCATGCGCACACACATGAAAATATTAGACAAGAACACCCTATCAAATCTCTACCTTTTCCCTGTACCCTGTAAAAACCGTATCCTTAAACCGCTTTTAAACTGCGCCATGCTTGGACATTGCTTCATATCTTTACTTAGTCTGTTCCACAGCTTCACTCCACTCACAGAGATGCAAATTTTTTTTAATGTTGTACGGATACGAGGATGTTTTAAATTTAATTCCCCCCTCAAATTGTATCCCCGTTCCCTTTTAGAAAACATTTTTAGAATATTGTCAGGAAGCAGGTTATTTATTGCTTTATATATAATTTGTGCTGTGAGAAAATGAACCAGATCTGTGAATTTTAGAATTTTTGATTTTAAGAATAGTGGATTTGTATGATCTCTGTAACCAGTTTTATGGATTATCCTTATGGCCCTTTTTTGTAATATAAAGATTGATGATAGCGAACATTTGTAAGTATTGCTCCAAACCTCTGCACAGTAATTCAAATACGGTGCAATCAGGGAACAATAGAGAATGTGGAGTGATTTGTGGTCCAGAATGTGTTTTACTTTACTCAAGATTGAGACACTTCTTGAAATTTTGTTATGTATATGATTTATATGAGATTTCCAGTTTAATTTATCATCTATAATCACACCAAGAAACTTATGTTCAAGTACTCTTTCAATTTCCACACCATCTACATGAATCTGCACTTGTGCATTTCTAAGGGAATTCCCAAATACGATAATTTTAGTTTTACTTAGATTTAGCGATAGTTTGTTCCTGTTAAACCATTTTTTAATTTTGCACATTTCTGAAGTAATTGTATCCAGCAGCTCCTTTAGATTCCCCCCAGAACAAAAAATATTTGTGTCATCTGCAAATAATACTAATTTTAATATATCAGATGCCTTACAAATATCATTTATATAAATAATAAATAATTTTGGACCCAGTACAGAGCCTTGTGGAACACCACAAGCAATGTCCAAGCATGATGAGGAATGGACACCCAGCTTCACAAATTGTTTCCGGTCACTTAAATAATTTTTCACCCATTGCAGTACAACCCCCCTAATCCCATACCGTTCCAGTTTATTAATTAATATGTCATGATTGATTGTGTCGAATGCTTTCTTGAGATCCAGAAATACTCCAGCTGCATACTGTTTCTGATCTATAGCATTCGTAATCTCCTCAATTGATTCGATTAATGCCAGAGATGTTGATCTTTTTGATCTGAATCCATATTGACTGTCAGAGAGTAATTTATATTTATCTAAGAATTTGTCTAATCGTTTATTAAACAGGTTTTCTAGGATTTTGGAGAATTGTGGTAGTAAAGAAACAGGCCTGTAATTTGTGAAGTGGCGTCTATCCCCGGTTTTATACAGCGGCACAACTTTAGCTATTTTCATTTTGTTTGGCACTTTTCCCGTCTGAAATGATAAGTTGCAAATATATGTTAGAGGTCCTACAATTCCTTCAATGACCTTCTTGACGATTTTCATGTCAATATCATTACAATCAGTAGATGTTTTATATTTACACATGTGTACAATGTCAATTATTTCTTTTTCCTCCACTGATGTGAGGAACATTGAGTTAGGGTTCCTATCAATCAGGTTTTCACTACATTCTACTGATGGCAGTGACTCAGGAATTTGTTCTGCCAGTTTTGGTCCAATATTTACAAAATAATGATTAAAGCTGTTGACCTTATCAGCAGTGTTTTCCATAATATTGCCATTATCGATAAAGTATTGTGGATAACTTTGTTGTCCAGAATTATTTTTAATGATACCGTTTAAAACATCCCATATTCCTTTCATATTATGTTTATTGTTGTTCAATATTTTACTATAATACTCCTTTCTACATACACGTATAATATTGGTCAACTTATTTTTGTATTTTTTATATTTATTTTCAGCATCTTTTGTTCTTGGTTTTAGGTATTCCCTATAGAGTGTATTTTTCTTTTTACATGCATTTTGTAAACCCTTAGTGAGCCATGGTCTATCTGAATATTTGTGCTTTCTGTTGTATTTTATTGTTGGACAGTTTTTATCGTACAACTCCATGAATATTCTTAAAAATATGCCATATGCAATATCAATATCAGCTTCTTTGTACACATTGTCCCAGTCCTGATTTAATAGATCGTTCTTAAATGCAGTCATAGTTTCTTCTGTCCTTACACGTCTGTATCTCAGTTGTTCTTCATGCTGATTTTTCTTATAATTAGTGTCATAAACTGCAAAAACTGGTAGGTGATCACTGATGTCATTAATTAATAATCCGCTCACAATGTTGTTTTCCATATTGTTAGTGAAAATATTGTCAAGTAAGGTGGCACAATGTGGTGTAATTCTGCTAGGCCTGGTTATTTTAGGATGTAAACTCAAACTGTACATAGTGTTTAGGAATTCGTCGGTCATTTTATGCTTTTTTGGATTCAACAGGTCAATATTAAAATCACCACAGATAAACATAACTTTTTGATTTGTTTTAGAGAATATTTCCTCTATGAAGTCATTAAATACTTGAATACTAGAGCCAGGTGTTCTATATATACAGCTAATTATTACATTTTTTTCTTTTTCCTTATAAATTTCAATTGTTATACATTCTAGTAAATTATCAATTACAGTTGTCATATTTTCTACCACCTTGTAGTTTAGGTTTTTATCCACATACACAGCTACTCCCCCTCCACTCCTGTTCCTTCTATTTACAAAATTCACTTCATATCCCTCCAGTCCAAAGTCCATTCCTTTCTCCGCATTGATCCATGTTTCAGAAATGGCAATAATTCCAAATGGATTTGCCAACTCATTTAGATATTCCTTTATATTGTTGAAGTTGGCATACAGACTTCTGCTATTAAAATGGATTATTGATAATTTATTTTCCGTGTTGATGGTGTGCTTAAACTGTTCATCAGTGAAGTAGCAGCAGTTACAGCTGATGTTGTAGAAGAAAACTTTTAAGCTTAAATTTCAAAACTTACATTTAACTACTGATTTTATCTATTGTTCTGATTTTATCTGTTTTGATTTTATATACTGTTTTGTTTGTTTGTTAATTAGTTTGTTTGTTTGCTTGTTTTAATCAATTTTAAATCATGCTTTTTATTTGTTTTTGTTTCTAATGTCTCTGTAAAGCACTTTGAATCACATTGTTGTTGAATTGTGCTATACAGATAAACTTGCCTTGCCTTGCCTTATTATTAATAATAAC